TTCGTCTTCAAACAGGTAGAGGAAATGTGAAACTTTGTTAGTAAAATGCTATGTGGAGGAAATCTATTTCCAGTGTTCTCAGCATTGTGGTCCTAGGTTCCTTGATCAGTTTTAAAATGTTGAGTAAAATGTAAAAAGAAAAAAAAACACCTTTTTACTAGTTAGGAAGTGTTACGATTGAATTGGATCCACCCAAAACTCCTGTGTTGAAGTTCTAACCCCCAACGTGATGGCAGTTAGAGACGAGGCCTTTAGGGAGACAATTAAGGTTAAATGAGGTCATGAGGGTGGGGCCCTAATCCAATGGGGTTCGTGTCCATATCAGAGGAAGGGGAGCCATCAGCGGGTCTCCCTCTCAGGTGGGCAGAGGAAAGGCCATGTGAGGACTCAGTGAGAAGAGAGACATGTACGAGCTTGGGAGAGAGTCCTCCCCAGGAACTGAACTTTCTGGCATCTTGGTTGTAAACTTCACACTTTTAGGGCTGTGAGAAAATAACTATCTCTTGTTTAAGCCACTCAGTCTGTAATAATTTGTTGTGGCAGCCCAAGAAGACGAGCATGGTGAGAATACTCGGATCCCAAAGCAATGTGACTGTGTTGGCCCAGACTGTGACTCAGCATGAAGCTGGCTTTGGCCTTGAGGGCATTTTAAAAAATCTGGTAAAATAGAGTTTTGGTCATCAGGGCCTCGTGGAAAAGAGAAAACTAGAAACAAAGGTCAGAGCCCACCCAGGTGGGGGACTCTAACAGGACACTCCTGAATAAAGCTGGGCTACTTCAAGCTGCTCCCTTAGGGAGAGCCTGTCTTCCTTCTTACCAGCCACTACTACCCTCTGGGTGGATCTGGGGGCTGATTGTTTGTTTATCTCAGAGCTTGACACTGAGTGGACAGCAAACCGAAACCTCCCCCGAGAGTCCAGCACAGCAAGTCCACTTTTGCAGGATTTTTCCGCCTTCAGATGACTTGGGTCGTTTGGAATCTTCATACTGAGAACTTATCCTGAAGACGTTTCTGCATGCCACCAGGCACCAGGCAGAAGCGAACGTTAACTCCCTCTGGAAGAAACTACCTTCCACCCAGGTCCCAAGGAACCCCACAGGCAAGTCTAACCACCTAGTCAGAGCTACGAAACGGAGGGAAACACCATTCGATCGGAGGGCACAAGGTGAGAAACCACAAACAACGATGTCAGGCCTGCGAAGGCTTAGATGCTGGGCTTAACAGACACAACCAAATAAACATGCCTGATACATTCAAAGAGCTAGAGAAGGATCTAAACAGGAGTAAGGAGTGAGGCACTATACAACGTAGTCAGGAACATTTGAGAAAGGACCCAACAGAACTTTATAAAAGGAAATACTTGAAATTAAGACAAATCTTCAGTGAACGCATTTGACAGAAGTTAGACACAGCTGAACAGAGAGTGGGTAAATAGAATGAAACACAGAAGGTACGACAGGAGTTAAGAGAGACACGGAGGGCAGAGTGGGAACGATTAATACACCATGCCAGACTTCCAGAAGCAGGAAAGAGAAGAAGGAGAGGCAACAGTTGAAAAAGATAATGATTACAAATTTTCTCAAACTAATGCACAACACAATTCAGAGGTTCAAGAAGCTTAATGAAATCCAGCAGGATAAATACCGAAGCACCAACACAATCGTGAAACTACAGAACACTCCAGATAAGTGTTCTTAGGAGCAGCCAGAATACCGTCATACGAAGGAATGAGAGTAACCTGACAGCAACACTGGAAGCTAGAAGACGATGGAATAATATTTCTGTGTGTGCAGAGCATATAATTATCAACCAAGAATCAGATACCTCGTGAATATCAATGTTCTTTCCAGAAGAAAGGGAAAAACAGATATTTTAAGATAAAACTGAGAAAGTCTGTCATCAAGAGGAAAACAAATTTTAAAGCACGTATTTTAGATAGAAAGTGGTTTTGAAGAACTGATACGTAAGAAGGAACAGTAAACACAGTGGCAGTAAGTATGTCAGTAAATCTAAATGGACTTGACTAAATCTAAATCGGTTTCACTAAACAGTAGCAATCGTGACTCATGAGCAAACATGTTCTAAGACCTCTGATTTCTCAGGAGGGACATAAATCACTATGTACATTAGACTTTATTCAGTGTGCCTATGAGCATTTCAGGGTAACCCTAAAAGAACAGAAATGATCGCATGGTTTTAATGGTCTAAGCTTTCCAGTCACAAGACAGATTGTGAGAACGGGTTTTAAAACCCAGCTACACACAGGACACGCACACAGCACTGGGGAGCAGAATGGCTGAAAGCAAGAGGAAAAGACTCATTAAAATAAAAATGAAAAGACCGCTGATGTAACCACTGGGAAAAACTTCCAGATCGAGACATCACTACAGATAAAGAGAGTCGTTGCTAATTATTTTTGAAAAATTTCAACTCACCAGCAAGATATATAATTCTCAACTTGCATGCTCTAATAACATAGCCCCAAAATACATAAAGCAAAGATCAAGGGAACTTCAAGGAAAAATAGACAGAACCACCGTCAGAGTGGGAGGGTTTAACATGCCTTTCTCTGCAGTTGACTGATCAAGAAGATGAAATCGATGAAGATATGAAAGATTGGAGCTTGATGTAATGGAACATAAAAACTATAAAATACACATTACTTTTTCAAGCACATGTAAAATATTTGTGAAAAATGACCATTTCTGGTCCAAAAAGAAAGTCTCAACAAATTTCAAATGATTTGAATACAGACTATGCTCTCGGACTGCAAGCTTTAGAACCAATAACAAAAAGGCAGCTAGAAAGAAATCCTTTGTTCGAACATAAAAAAATACTTCTAAAGTTGTGGTTAAAAGATGAGAGAATAATGGAAGTTGGATAATATTCAGAATTAAACTATAACAGATAGACTACATATAAAAATCCATGGGAATATAGTCATAATAGTCTCTAGAGGAGCACTTATAGCATTAAATGCTTAAATAAGATTGAAAAATAATAAATTAAGCATAGAAATTAAGATGGCAGAAAAAGTAACATCGTAAGTCCAAATAAAATAGAAAGAAGAAAATAAAGATGAGCATAAACTGACGGAATAGGAAATAAATATATCAAAAGAAGTATTAAGAAGATCAAAATTGGTTCTTAGCAAAGACTAGAAAAATGTAAAACCTATGGACATTTTGCTAAACAAGATACAAAATAAGAAATGAAAAAGGGAATAAAATATATAATAAAAATAGTATGCACAACTTTACACTCAGTAAATTTGAAAACTTAATAAAATGGCCTCAAGAAAAAAGCAGATAATCTAAATCATCCTTTAGTCATAAAAGTATTACATCTATAGTTTAAAATCTTCCAACAAAGAAGAAGCAGACCCACACGGTTTTGCTGAACAGTTCCACAAAACTTTCAAAGTGAGAGGTGTTCCAGCCTTTCAGGTAGAACTCCACAGAACAAACATGAAGGGAGGTGACACTCGCCACATCATTGTATGAGGTTAGCAATATCTTGGCAAAAATATCTGACAAGCGTAATATGAAAAAAAGGCCAATCTCACTAACAAAATAGAAGCAAATGCCTAAGTAAAATACTGGCAAATCCATTTTAGGCGTGTATAAAAACGATAATACTAAATGACCAAGTTGGGTTTATACCAGGAAGGTGAGGTTGGTTTAACATTAGAAAAGTCAACTAATGTATGTAATTCGTCACACTCACAAAATGAAGGAGCAAACCTATGATTGTATCAATATAGAAAGGTGCTTGATAAAACTCAGCATCTATTCACAATTAAAGTTCTTAGCAAACTACAACGAGAAACTAAAAAAGCGCTTCAGCAAACATCATAACGATGAAGGGAAAATGTTCTATTTAACACTGAACTAGGACAAGAGGGTTCGCCATCATCACAGTGGCTTGATGTGATACTCGAGGATTAGGCTAGAACACTGGGGCAAGAGCGAGAATGAGGAGAAGGTATAAGGATTGGAAAGAAAGAAATAAAACCACTGTTTTGGAAGATGATTGTCTTATGTAGAACACTTCAAAAAATTCACAGATAAATTATTACAAGAGAGTCGCTGCACACAAAAACCAAAGAATAAAAAATAACTGCATTTCAAAACACCAGCAAGAGATAGGTAAAAAAATAAAATTCTAAAAGATATGCTTTATAAGAGGAACAACAAATATAAGATATCTAGGAGTAACTATATTAAGAAATGTACAAGATCTGTAATGGAAAAATCCAAAAGCTCATTGAAAGCATTAGAAAAGCCCTAAGTCAGTAGAAAGACACACTATGCTCATGGACTGGAAGACTCAGTGTTCCAGACACAACCATCCTCCAGCTGACCTACAGTTTTGGTATCATTAGAGTAAAGATTCCAGCAGGCCATTCTGTAGATCCTGGCAAGGTACTTGTAAAATTTATGAAAAAACAAAGGGCACATCACACACACACACACACACACACACACACAATAAGTAAATGTGAAAATAACATGTGAAACAGCGTATAGCAATGTAAACACACACACCAGGTACATCGTAGGGACATAACCTTGAGTGAAGTTGATTAAGAATATACACAGCACGATAACATTCATACAGAGTTCACTCGTTGGCCTACTAAGCAATGTATTTTTAAGGATCCCCATTTACATGTGAACTGTAAAGAGAAGACAAATGCTAAGCACACGGTCAAGGCAGCGCTCACCTGAGGGACAGGGGATGGGAAGGAGCTAGTGATGGAATCACATCACTACGGTAACTGACTCAGCAGCTATGTAGGCGTCTATCGTACTGATGTTCTTACACCTTAATGTTTTACAAATACGCTTTTTAACTATTGGATGTTTAATGAAAACAGTTTTAAAGAATTGCCTACCAAGCTACCACAACCAAGCTCTGGATCTGAAACCCTTGCAGACCAACTGTCCCCAACGCAGCGCCACCCAGGGACACCCCCCACGCCGCCCAAGAGCCCTACCTTGGCGGGGTTGAGAGCCGTGATGATCCACACGCAGTGCGCGTTGTTGTCATACTGAATAGGGAAATTGGGGGAAGTGATGAGGCCTGAGGGGCCCCGAAGGTGGGCATCACACATGCGGGCTGCGGAGAGAAGATGAAAGTTTAGTTTAGACAAGGTCCCGTTCCCATCCCCACCTCTCACCCCCAGCCCCGGAGAGACTGAAGTCTGTGTGGTCTCAACCCAGACGTAACCTTCTGCCTTCTTCCCTCATAGTTCTCAGTAGGGTCAAGGGGAAGTAACAGTGTCTGGAGCACTGGGGTAGGGGCAGGCCCCACATGCCCTGCCTGGCCTCCTGCTCTGTGCACAGTGATGAACTTCCATGGTGAAGCTCAGCAACTCCACCGAGAGGGCATGGCCTAGGACTCCTCCCCTCGACCTCAGTCTAGATGGGCACCGGACACCTATGGGCTTGCTAAGCTGCCCACCCCTTGCTCTGCTGACCTGTCTGTGCATCCCCGTTTGCTCTCAGGCCTCCTGAAGTAGACTCTCAGGACGTCCTTGTCAAGGCCACCTCATTAAGTCTTGAACGTCTGTGCCCAAGGCCTCTGCCACGGCCCCCAGCTCAGCCCAGGATCAGGCATCTGAGTGATCTCAACGCCAGTCACGGACTTCCCATCCCCTCCCCACACTCAGCACATGCCCCAAACTGGCTTTTGACAGGAAGCATAAAGATTCAAGGTGAATCAGAAGTGCTCTACTCAAGTAGATATAAAGTGTTATCAATCACAGCTTAATCTAATTAAGCTCTTTAAAATAGCTTCTAAACTAATTAGATTAAGTAGTGATTGATAACAGTTAAGGTGCTACATTGTACCTAGGTGTTTGCCTCCTTTAAAAACATGTTCTTTAGCTCTTGCCACTTCATTCTTCAATGTTAGCGCTCAGCGATTTTATTAAAAAGAGTTCTAAGAGCCTGCTCCGTGGCTGTCTGCATGGCAATTTATCCTAATTGTAGGCAAAGAGCCTAAGAGTAAAGAAATAGCGAGCCAACGCAACGAGCCTAAGTATATAAAATGGAAGTAGTGTCAAGCCTGGTTTCCTCTGACAGGGCGAAGTCTCCTGGAGCTCCTGTCTGCGGGGTGGGGGTAGGGGGTGGGGCCGTGATAAACCCTTCCTGCGAGCAGCTGGGAGGCAGTGTCTGCCGCTCTCGGACATAACTCATCTCGTCTCATTTCAAGCGCTCATTGCTGCACTCACTCATTCCAGCGTTTCCTGAGTGCCTATCACGGGCCAGGCAGAGAGCGGGGAGGGAAAAAAACGTCCAAGACACAGGCCCTCCTCCCTGAAGGGCCAGGAGCAGGTGGAGGAAATAGGTACTAGAATGGAATTGGGCAGAGCCAGTGCCGTCCGTCCGGGGGGTATTGACCAGAAGCCGCTGGGTCAGATTTGCCCCTTCTTCTATTCTAGCTCATCCCCTTCACTGAGGACGTTCCTGGTGGCTCGCCCAGCTGCACCGAAAGGATCTTCCCCCCGCACCCTGAGCTCCAACATCGAGTGAAGCAAGTCTGAACAGAGCCCTAGGGGAGCCCTCTCCTCTGCTCCCCTTCTGTGCCCCCAATTGCTTCTGTGATTCTCCACTGAGAAACACTTTGATTCACAGGTTGTGCTTGATGCAACTGGGCCTGAAGGCAGCGGCCAGGGTGAGGAGAGTGCAGGCGGTGGGGTTTACCAACTTAGCCTTCTGGGTTTTATATGGACTTGCTGCTAGTTTAAGCCGGGATAAGTCAGAAAAGCTCTCTGATTCTGTCGTTCGCCTATAAAAGGGGGCTGTGATATTGCCCCCTGAGGCATGGTGAGGAGGCAGTTACGTGAGGTAACAGGTGCGAAGGCTCACCCTGGGCACGGGGCACTGCCTGCAGCCAGCAAAGGGGAGCTCAGACTGTTGGACTCCAATGCCATGTTCATTCCCTTTCACTAGGCCCCAGATTTCTCTCAAGGCCCAAGGGCGTTTTTCTACTTTCCTGAAGTCTCTTTAAATAGGATTTTTTCTTCCTGTGACCACACTTGAGGCTACGCCATCACTAAACAAGTGAGACTAAGATCATCAAAAGCAAGGCCAGGATCTCAGCCCGCCTCCGCGAGGAGGACCCGTGGATGCGGAACCCCAGCGCTGCAGGGAACCCTTGCAAACCTCCACCAGCATCATTTTATCCCTTGTCTGGAGAGCCAAGCTGTGCTGCTTTAAAAGCCCTCAGCTTTAGGCTCAATTTATCCTGTGCTTATTTCCAAAAACTAGATGGTATTTGCAATCTGTTGAGATATGCTGAAGGTAATTAGAGGGAGTAGGTCAAAAAGGCATTTACCACTTTAAGAGCTTAGAAGAAATTAATTAAAATATTACAATCTGCAGATATTTAGCATGGAGCACCTTGAAACAGGTTCTGAATGGAGCATCAGCTCCTTTTTCCCTCTGCTGCCTCGGTAAGGTCGGGGGTCTGTGGACAGACAGACTTCCTCCTGAACAGCCAGCCCCTGGGAGCCCGCCAACAGATGGACAGTCCACGGCTGCACCCCACATGGGCTGGCAAAACCGTAGATGCTCAGACAAGTTCTGAATACACAAATAAACACATGTTTATGTTTCTCTTTTTGCCTTTTCTCATGAAACTTTCTGCTGGATAGCTGTCAGGAGACTTCCCCGGGACCTCTCATGCTAAAGCTCTGCAGCTACTCCCTCTCCTCCTCTGGACATCACCACCCCATGTAACAGGATCAGTATTCCAGGGACCACAGGGGGACAGCATCTGGACCCACAGCCAGTGCTGGCACTGAAATGACTTGGCACCAACAAGGAAATCGCTTCAGATACAAATGCCTTTGGCCTTCTATCCGCCCCTCCCCCCTTCAATCTGATTCGAACACTGTTCCTCGCTGCCTTCCCGTGCTGCTCCTACTGCTGACCTGCCTTCGCATCCTTGTCTTGGTCTTCTGGAGCCACGCCCCCACCACCAGTTCCAGGGCAAACAAACCTGACTCGCATGTGCAACGTCTTTCACCACCTCCTGCTCCAACTCCCGTGTGGATCGAAGCCTGTCTCCCCTCCCCAGTCCACTGCTTCCTCTGCAGCCCTCTGGAGCAGAGCTTTCTCCCACCCTGCTGTGTGGTGCCCACAGGCATTTGCTGAACCCCTGGAGGAACTCCCCATTGGCCTTCATCTGGGGCTCATCCCACTGGCACCAACATTTTCTCTCCACCCTGTTTGTCCTTCTGTCCCTACCCAACTTAGAGCCCAAGGTCCACCCATGACCATTTTCTTGCAAATCCACCCAAGTTCCTTGCTCGCTTTTCCTTTAATCAGTTGCCTGGAAGATGTCAGCGGTGAATGAACCTCTCCATCTACATTCTCTAGACTTAACCTCATATAGTTAAACTTTTCTGGAGAAAAAAATCACATGAGTGAAAGAGACTGATATCGCTGTACATTCATGATTACTCATCTCAGAAAATATCCTAGATATTGCCCAGCAACCGTTCAGCTCATCCTCCTGCTCTACACAAAGATCCGTCCATGCCTCCTACATGCCCCTCGGAACTCTTGCCCTCCCCTCCTCTCCCTCCCTGTCAGCTGGCAACTTTGCTTCAGTCTCTGTGAATGGAACAGATGACGTCTGGCAGGCACACGCTGTCTCACCCCCAGTTCCACAATCCTGTCTGCTTACATGCTCATCTTCTTCCCTCCAGTTCCTTCGCCTTTTGGAGCCCAGTCTCGCTCCCCAGGAGCTCTGGTGCCCCTGCCCAAAGCCGACCACGTCCTTGGCCGTACCCTGGATTTGCTGTTCTGGACCCCATGGCAGTCCCTCTGTGAGATCTTAAGCTCCATCATCCCATTCTTTCTCCTGCCACCTGTGCACCCAGCAGACGACTGGATCTTGATGTGCTTGCTCTCCTAAATCACAGGCCCCTCCAGTCTCCTGACTCCCTCAGGTCTCCTCCTCCGTCAGTGCTCTGTTGACCCTTTTCTTTCACTCGTCTGCACCTGAGCACCCTCACCAATGGCTCCCTCAGTGCTCTCAGATCTGCCTTTGAATAATTCTACCATCCACCTTCTCTACTCCTAGTCCTGGGTGCCAAGGTGCTGCCCGGAGACCACGGCACCACCACAGGTTCACCGTTTGCCATTGTAATCGAAGCTTCGGCCCAAATTAGTCCTTTCTCTTGTCTTTGTCTGGTTTTCTGGGCAATTCCTTACAAGGAAAACTTCAACCATTTGCCACTCAGTTGAGACACCCAGCTGACCTCTCTGGAGGATCTGACCCCACTGACCCTTCTCTCTTGGTGAAACTAGGATTCATCGGTCACTGCGATGCCTCTTGGCTCTCCTCCTACCTCTCTAACTGACCCTTCTCAGCTTCCTACTTGGCTCTTAACTCCTTAAAAGTAGTTGTTTAGATCTGGGTACAAAGTACACAGGAGTTCTCTGCACACTTCCTGCAAAGTGTCTGTGAGTTTACAATTTTACATCAAAATAAAAGTTATGAGAAAGTGGGGGAGAGCTGTTCTACGCGGTTCCATCGAGTATACTGACTCTGGAGGACATGCGGGAGCAATTTCCGAGAAGGGTATGGTAGAGCCTTTGGAGCCAGGGTTTGAATTCCAGCTCAGCCAGTCAGCTCTGCACCCTTAGGCAGGTTGGCTGGCCACAGCACGCCTGACATAAATGTAAAATATGAATAATGCCACTTTCTTCATAAAGAACTTATGAAAAATGCCGAGTGTGATGCTTTATACAAGTATAAAGCAGCTCAGTAAATGTGAGCTGTATCGTAAGTATCTATACATGTAGGTAAGGGACTAGGGAGCATGGGGTGTGTACTCTAGCACAGTCAGTGAGTCACGTAAGAGGATGACTGCAGAGGAGAGGAGAGGGGAGGGGAGGGGAGGGGAGGGGAGGGGGGGGGAGGGGAGGCAGGTATAAGAGTGGCGGGGAGGGGAGGCGGAGAGGATGAGACAAAACTCTGAACATCAGTGTACAAGGAGCAGACCCAGTGAAGTCTGCCAAGGACGACAGTCACCTGTAATTTGTCCTGGCCTTTAATTTTGCTGGTTTGTGCCATTTTCCACATGTCACTCCCATTTTATGAGGAGGGAGAAGATTCTGAACATTCCAGTAATTTTTCCTGTGCTATAATGGTATGTTAATAGCAAGGTTGGAACTTGAACTTAGGTTTCTGAGTCCTGAGTCTGGTGTTCTAGCCATGAAAAAGGCCTTTATTCTAAACAGATATATGAAGCCCGTAGAGAATGTATCCAGCCAGGTACTATGACAAATAGAGACATTTATTAAAGGGGATACAAGAAACATTGTACATATGACAATGACACCTCAGTCCCCTTCAAAGTAGGCACCTTGGGACATCACACAGTTCTCCCAATTACCATCACCTGTCTCATTGTATTTTCCTGAATCTCATTGAAGGTCTGAAATCTCTTTCCTTTCAAAGGTGATTTTAATCTTGGGAAAAGCCAGAAGTTGCAGGTAGTCAAATCTGGGCTGTAGGTGGGGCTGAGTCATCTGGATGATTTGATGTTTTGCTAAAATACTCTACATGAGACATGATGCATGAGCAGGTGTGTTGTGATGAAGCTGCCAATCACAAGCTGCCCACAGCTATGGCCTTCTGAATCATTCGAATAGCTTTGCTGGGGGAATGTCCAAGCTTCATGCAAAATTTGATGCAGATTTGTTGCTCTACTCACTCAGTCATTTTGAATGTGATGGCTACACAGTGCACATGCTCAGTCAACGCCATCTGCTGCCCCCACTGACTAGAACAGTGAAGTCATCCTTGTTTATGCATGTGCATTCCAGTCCACTCTCCTTGGCTGCCAGGTTACATCGATGTCAAGCGAATCATTCTCATTATATTAATAATGACTGGACTTTTTCTGGACAGACCTCATATAAATATGCATATATGCACATATACATATATATTTATATAGGAAATAGCGGGTTTCTCCACAAAGGAATAAAATCAATGTGCTGTTGATTATCTGTTCTGTGACTCAGTAACTGTAAGTATCTCACCGGGGCTGGTACTCAGTCCCCAATTTGCGGTCACAGGAAACCAGGTTTCCTGGTTGTCACTTTGGTCCTCTTATTCTATCAGTGGTTTATACACAGTGTTCCCTGGAGCCTCAGGGGCTCCTCAGGGGTGGCTCAGGGCTGCAGAGAGGGTGGGGGGGGGCAACCCCAAGCCCCCTGCCCCTATTTCAGGGAGAGACCTTCCACTCGCGTCTCTTTTATGTGTTGGGCTTCTGTGAAAGCTTATTTTAAACTATCAGGCTCCACATACACAGGAAGTCCTACAGGCCCTATATTTCACTGTTCTGCCTCTACATGGGGCTGAATAGAATTCGTAGAACAGTGTTTCAGTTGCCTCGATCCCCTTCGGATGATCAGAATTTTCTGGGAGTCAAATGAGAGGCCGATTTCTTCGAGCGGACGGGAAACAAAAGAAAGGCCCGTGAAAGCCCTGGTTTCGGATCCCAAAATGAGGGCACAGTGCCACAGTGCTGATCCATTCCAATCACTGATTCATTCAGGTCGTCTGGAAGCATTTGTGGAGAGCCTATTATTTGCCAGGCCTCATGTTTTAGTGTAATTAACTGTGTGGAGAAATGAATATTGAAAATCAAATCATAATTTAAATGCATTAGAGGAAAAATAAGACCACTATGTGTGTGGCGATGAATGCTTTTCAGAACGTGATCTTTCGGTCACCTGCTTATTAGGGGAGCTGTCCTGGAATTCAAAGAGTTTTGTCCCTTTTTACTCTTAAAGTGAGGTTCGCTTTAACTCAAAGCAAGGGATTTTAAAAGGAAAGCCTTCAACACTGCCCAAATAAAAGGATCCTTGAATCAAATGTATATGTCTCAGCCCCTGGCCTTCACGGTTGTCCGGGACAGATGGTCCAAGTGCAGACCCAGGAGCCTGTGCCTTCTCTCTTCCTCCCTCCCACTGACCTATGGGAGAGAGAGAGGGAGGGAGAGTGGCAGGAAGGTGAGCCCGTCTGTGCTGAGAAGCCCCTCTTCACTGCATCAGTGCCGGGCTGCTTGGTAGCTGCCTGCACCGGGACTTATTTAAATTTACAATCGCTGAGCAGGGGAGGTTTTGTTTTCCCAACTCACAATGAGGGCCTGTGGTTAAAAAGAGATGAAGGAACCTGCCCAGGGCCAGCAAACGAGGAGGGGACCGAGTTGTGATCTAGATCAAAGCCCGTGTGCCTCCCAAACTGTGCAGCTGCAGTGATGGAGCGCACAGCGAGGGACGGGCTTTGACAAGAACCTGTGGCCGCTAGAGGCTGTGGAGGGTTCCCAGGCCTGGGGGAGCGACATCCCAGCAGTGCTGAGTAGTTCCCACAATGCGTGTGTGCACGAAGGCCTCACAGACACACTGGGATGTTTCTAAACGAGTGCTTTCAGGCCCACTGCCTCATCGAGTCCTTGACGTAAGGTCACAGAGTAATGCTCCGTAATCTGCCTTTTAGCAGGGCAGGAGAGCTTCAGAGAGTTGGGCCCAAGAACAACTAAAAAGTGGTGATGGTTGTATTCGAACCCAGTTCTGCCTGGCTCTGTTTTCCATGATTTTTCCCAGCTTCCTCTAAGGATAAGGCTGAGGATGAAATGAGGATGGATGGGAAAAAGCTTAGCCCAATGCTTATTTAACAGAGTGGCGGGGAATTCAGAGTCCACTGGGTTGAAATCACTGGGGGGCACTTCAATGGGGCACACAGCATGTCTGGAGGAAAAGATGAGCATGGTCCTCAACTGTGAACTTCCTTCTGAAACAGCAGCCCCTCCCCAGCCTGGGCAAGTTCATGTAAGCAGTCACCACTACTGACAGAACCACCTTCCTTCCAGGCATGAAAAGATGGTGGTGAGAGATCAGATCTCACCACTGCCTACAGGTATCATTTTTCTGGCTCCTCAGAAGGAATTTGAAAGTGACAGGTTGGTACAGGGTCCCTTGGTCTTCAGATCTGAGAATTCTATGCCTCTCCGCACAGCTGGTTTGTGGCTTCCTGGCATAGGAGGGGTGTGCTACTCAGCCATTCATTCATTCAATCATCCATTCAAGACACATTGCTGAACACCTACTAAGTGTCAGGCCGTGTTTTGTGAACGAAACAGAAGTCCTTGCCCTCCATAGTTTATAATCTAGCCTGATAATATTTGTTTTCTTGTCTAGCACTTTCCAATGTGTAAAGTGTTACCATATCCACAACTCCATTTGGCCTTCACATTAACACAAGATGGGGTAGGTAGGCACCCTTGTACCTGTACAGGTAAGAAAAATAAGCCCAAGGGGAAGTGGTGATATGCCAAATTGCCCATAGCCAGCTAGTGGCAAAGCTAAGAGTTCTACCCAAGGACTCTTCTTTTGTTTGATTTTTAAAAAATATTAGCTAAGTGGAAACTTTGAAATAAAATAGCTAAAATGAATGGGGATTCAAAGTACATTATTAATTGTGGATCACAGCCACCTCAAAGTAGAGTGAGAATGAATGAATCTAAGGCTCATCTGAAAACTGCTCAGGAACCTCTTCTGGATTACCGATCAGCACACTGAAAAAAGGGAGTGGGTCTCAGCTCTGACCTCGTCCCTTCCTCCGTGTGGTCATGATCGGAGTTCTTTTTCTTGGACCCTTTCTCTGCATGCAGTTCACTGAGATGCATGCACCTGCAGAGAGGCAAACAAGCATCTGATTCTCCTTCTTAAACCAGAAGAATCCAGAGTGTACCTTCCAAATGGGAGCTCAAAAGAGCAACCATTGGCTTTGCTTACAAACCCCGGAGCACGTGCTTACTCTTGCACCGAGACTGAGTCCGGTCATGGGCACACACAGACGAAGAGGAGAGATGCACGCAGAGTGCAGGGGATGGAAAGCTGTCTCGTGGTGCCCTGCGGGGTGGGGCCAGGGGCTTCCCTACCGTGGGAGCACTGCTGTCTGTCCTCACGATGGAATGCACTCAGGTCTGCTACTTTAAGATTATTTGGGGTCGGGGGTTGAGGTCTCGGCCAGCTCAACCTCAGTGCACGTGTTATCTGAGAACATGAGTGGCATGGCCCTTGGGAACAAGATGCCCAGGTACAGAGTTAGAACAGAGGAGCTTTTGAGACCATGGTCCACATACTTCTGCTCAGCAGGGAGCATCTTCAGAGGTGCGGGTCTGTTTGTTGCCGAGTACAGGGAAAGAAAAAAGGGCACTGAGATTCAGGGTTCGGGATGCATATGTATTATAAGAGAGGGATCAAAGGTGAATTATAAGGGTGACTCCCCTTCCTATCTTGGTGTGGGCCTAACACCTGTGCAGTGAGCTAGACACCTGCTCCATCTGTGGCTCCCGTAGACTGAAAGGCCCGTGCAAGGCAGGGCCCATGTTCTCTCCCCCATTTCTGGATCTCCTCACCCTAGTGGAGACCCTGACACAGAGAGGTACTAAATAAGTGTGAGTGAGTAAAGAATGCAGCATCTGAGGCCTGGGGAGCAGCGAGGGTAAGGCCAGCCCGTCTGGATGAGAGCCCCGGTCTCAGGGGCTAGGAGCTGGGCTCTGTTTTCCATGCCCGGCCCAGCTTTCTGGCCAGCACCACCCCCCCTTTCCTGGGGCACCCTCACCTCGGCAGACGGGCCTGTGGTCGCTCCAGGCCGCAAACATGTCGCTCACTTTCATACAGGTGATCCGCTTGGATCCTTGCAGGTCATAGCCCTCGTTGCAGGTGAACTGGACGCTGGATCCTAACCTGGGAGACAAGGTAAGCCTGTGAGCTCAATCCCTGGGCCTTCCAGGCCCACCCCGAGTGCTTCCTGGCTCCACGAAGAAGCATCACACCAACCTTACTTCTCCTCTGGCCCTTAATTGCTACAACTGTATCACTTAAAAATCTCCACTTCTTGACCATTGAATGGTTTGGGGGTTAAGTTAAAAGGTAGGACTATGAGCAAAACAGCTATCTTCTAAGTATCCATGGGAACAGCTGAGAGGGGGTGGATGATACACAAGACTAATAAAAATGGAGAACTACAAGGAGATGCCTTGATAGAAACTTTGCAAAATGTACCATCTTAGGGCCCTAGGGTCTCCCAGGTTATCAGAGACATGAGCTGCCTGCTGGCATGTCACTACTGATGACAGCAGTCCTCTGTACCCTAGGTGCAGGTTTGTGGGGTGACGCTGGCAGTCTACAGCTCTCCCCTTGCCCTTGAGTCATGGCGGTATCCCCAAACTGCAGCAGGAAAGGCCGTCACAGGCACAGCTCTTCTCCAGAAAGTGTCTGTTCCTGCAGCCACGCCATCCTCTGTGCTCCACCTCCAGGAAGGCCAGCCAGCCCGCTCTTCCCCGCCCCCACTGTCCGTCCCACCCTTCTTGCGAGCAGAAAGTTCCCAAACAGATCTTACCTGAAATCCGAGCCTAGTCTTTTGCCCCTTTCGGGGATGCCAGGGTCTGGACACATATTATGCCCTTGGGACACACCAATCTGAGTTACTACAAGGCAAAAAACAGCACATACAGAGATGGATAACCATGGGAAGGCACTGGCCGGGGCAGTGTCTTGGGGGGGTAGGTGGACCCAGAGACGGAATGAGGCCCTGTTCCGGTAGGGTTGCGTGAGGTTGCTGGGGTCCACTGGGCGGGGGTTTCCTGAGTGTGTAAGGTGGGGAGCTGCTGTTGACAAATTCCTTTGTGAGCAAAGTCCAAGTGAAATTCATCAAGAGCATGGAGGTCCAGAGGCAGGCACCCCAAACCAGCAACCACCCTGTTCCCTTGTCCCACACCAGCGGCCAGAGGTGGACGGTCCGCAGCCCCCAGTGACCTCCCCACCCTGAGCTTCGGATCCGGGGGTGGCGACTCTAGATGAGATGAGCTCCCCCCCCCCCCGCCCAACCTCAGCCCCAAATGGAGAAATGACTCAAAGAAAGTTAAATAAAAGGTGGATGTGTGATCAGAAACGGTAGAGAATGTAAGAGAAAGCAGTAGTCTGAAGTTCAAAGCAGGGACTTGAGCTCAAACACAGATATTTCTGCTGAGAAACCTCTCCCCATCAGACACCCCTCAAGCCAGAGTGAGCAGCAACCAGAGCACGCCCGCCCCTGCCACCCAGTGCCTCCGGCCCAGGGCACGAGCAGAGATGGTCCCTGCGGGGGTCCTGGCCAGTGGTGTGATGCTCTCGCACCTGCCAGCACCAGAGTCCTGTTTACAAAAACCACGTACACAGTTGCCTGGACTAAAGGAGATGCTTGATCGGGGGCGGCGGACACACACAGAGTTGGTTTTCTCCTGTTTCCAGTGGGGACAGTGCAAACCCTCTGCCCCACCCCCATCCCTGCCCAGTTCACTGTTCCCGAGATGCTGATATTCATGAGGCTGGGACCCCTTCACACCTCTGGATTCTTGGCCTTGGGGATGACCAGGAGCTGGGGCCAGGCAGACAGCCCCACAGTCCCCATACTGCCCTTGAAACTAGGGATGACAGGAAGTCTGGAACAATGTTCCCTGAGTTGGCCCATTTCTGTCCCACCCCCTCAATGTCCCACAATATGAGCAACATGCTCCATCACGCACTTACTCACTCACCTACTCACCCATTTGAGTACACAAAAGGCATTAATTGAGCACCTGCTGTGTACATGACCCTGTTTTTTACACCATGGGAAATGTCAATGTCAGATGTCGTATATGACCTCTGTCCTCAAGGAGATCCCAGTCGAGTGAAGGCACAGAACACGGACACTAACCCTGAAACCACATGGGGAACTGATGAAAGGTACAGCCATAGGGAGACTAGGAAGGAGGACCCGTCTCCTATTGCTGAGAGAAGCACGGAAGACTGCCTGGAGGAGATGGCATTGGACATGGACCTTCGCAGAGAGTAGGACTGGGGTACAAAGTGATAGAGGAATGGCAGTTCAGGCAGACAGACAGGTCTGGGGAGTGAGGTGCAAACATGGTGGCAGAACTGGGGCTCCCCAGTGCGACTGGAATAGGAAGGAGGGTGACGACCGACATAAACAAGTAAAAGGTGAGATTTCAGAGGTCAGACGTTAAGGAGTTCCAGTCTGATCCTGAAAATGATGGGGGGCCACTGAAGAGTCCCGAGTCGGGGGAAGATCTGGCAGCTCACGGGGTAGCCAGTTCCTGCGCGATGAGTTAGGAAGTTTTGTGACTGCCCAGGTAAAGGACAACAAGAGCCTGGCAGCAGGGACGGTCATAAAGTAGTGAGAACGGACGTGGCCAAGAATCGCCTGGGCTCATGGAAGACTAGTGAGTGGGGACAGGGAGCAGGGGACTTCCCGGCCAAGAGACCTGTGACAAGTTGCATTTTAGACTCACTGAGTCTGAAGCTCATGTCCACAGTTAGAAGCTTGGTGTAGACCCCGTTCAAATCTCCAGGTGCCTCAGGGTGTGGATGGCCAAGAGACCCGGGGGTTTGGACAGACTGCATGCTCAAGCCAGGCACCTCGGATCCTCTGGGCTGTGTGGCAATGAGCACAAAGCTCCTTGGCAGTCTTCCTTTCTCGAATGTTCCACATCAGCAGGTTAAATCCAGTCACTCCCACTGGAATCTTATTCCCTTCTCACCTCCCCTTACTTGCCAAACCTCTACTTCCAAAACTAAACGACATTCCCATTCTCACCAGTCCAGGACCCTCCAGGCTGGGGTAATAAGATGCAAGTGCCATCTGCAAAAGCAGAGCAACCTCCTGCCTCCTGGAGCCTCCCTATTTTGCAAGCACCAGGAAGGAGGTAACTAAGGCCTCCAGGATCCCCAAGGGGGTGAGAAGGGGAGAGAAGGCTCTGTTCTAAGAAGATGATAAGGTCAGTCCTGACCTGTACCTGTGGTTCATCTGGTGGGCAGCCAACCTCACATGGTCCATCTCTTCTGAGGACTTCTCGGCTGAGCTCCCACCTTCTTTAGGCCCTGCCTACTCAACCCTGTGCACCAGCCACACCCATCCCAAAGTCCTTGCCGACCACCACGTGGGAACCACATGGCCCTCTGGTAGCACGTTAACAATGGACACCAGTGTCCTGCCTCCTTTTCTTGCCATCTGATTGAGTACTGATACCACCCAGTAAGCAGACAGAGTGGAAGGCTAACAGATGAAGATGTTCCTGGACCAGAATGAAGAGAACACGGCATAGCCCACCTACCGAAGCATGGCTCCTGACCTGCAGAGCAAACCAGCTGCCTCCCCTTCAATCAGTCAGCCCGAGCTAAGGCCCAGACCCCACCCAGAGGTTATGAGCCCAGCAGTGAGCCGCTCACACCCAAATGGTGCCCTGTCTTGCTGGAAGGACCGAGCAGATGATAGTAGCCACGTGGCACTGACAGGCTGCTCAGACAACAAGAAAACTTAAGTTGCAGGGAGCAGCTAACGGCCTGAATTATGGAGGTACAAGGCTTTTCCCCTCTCTCTCTTTAATTCCAACCTCCCCTCCCTCATCAAAACAAGCTGCTTATGTTTGCAGCATTGATTTGCTATTGGCTGCAGAGGGAAGAAAGAGAAGGGAAGGTGAACCTCACCCCCACCCTAGAAGGACCCTTATGGTGAGGAAGAAGCTGAAACATGCTCGGAAAGGCAATGCCTTCTACCCGAAGTGGAGGGAGGCGGAAACACGTGGGTGGTCAGAACCTATCAGTGGCGGGGGCTCCATGGTACCCATGGGCTATCTGATGAGCATATGAGTGGGGTTCAGGGTACGTGAGTGTGGGACTCCCGTCCTCTGAAGTTCAGGACATCTGTCCACAAGGAACTGGGCAGAACACAAGGGCTAGACACCTGCGGACATCTGGTCACCTGCCTCAGAGGTGGCTTGCATCACACACTCATCCTTCTCCAAGAAAATCTCAGAACAAAGAGTAGGACCTTGTTATAGAGATACATCTTTTTCAAAGAATTTTTGCATTGTTTCATTAGAATAAGGCTTATTCATCTTTCTAAGAAAGTTCTGGGCAGCTCTGAGTAGCTAATGAAAACCACGGGCCCTCCAGCACACAGGATGTGCCCACAGCACCACGTGTAACTTTTAGCCAGTTCATGGGCCTCCTGAAGTCGTAGGCCAGGAAGGCCCCTCTTAGACTCAACAGTATCCTTGGGGGGAAGAGGGGGTACAGTCTTATATCCCCATTTTACAGATGTGGAAACTGAGATATCAGTGCCTGGGGTGACGCAGTTTACCTGAAGACACCCTGGGATAAAAAACTTGCCCTCCCAAATTGGGGCTGTTTCCCTAATGTTTGCCTGTGGCCGGCCCCAGGGCCAGCTCTGAAGTGAGACCGTGCCTGCCTCCGTTCCTCTGGTCTGCTGTGGCTACAGAAAGGGCGGGCCTGAGAGGGCCAGGCCCATGGTTCAGTTCCAGCCTTCTCTGCAGGCTCCTGGCCTAACCTTCAGCTCTCCTTGCTCCTGCTTCTTCTCCTGGCCCCTGGTCAAGCACAGACGTGGGGCCTCCTGGCTGCCCTCTGCCATCCAGCCCCCGCCCCTCCCCCCCTCCCCGCAGGGTGCAATGACTGGAGGACTTGAAAGACCGGAGACAATCCCACACTCAGGCTCAGTTCTGTTGGGGTTTCAGGACCGAACTGCCTCTCCCCCAGCCCCGCTCCCACCACACACAGCACAGGGCTCTGGAACCACCGGTGGGGGCTCTGTCTCTCTTGGGAAATGATCCCAGCACCTCAAGAGAAGTGAGCACGTGGAGGTGAGATGAAAGGAGAGGGTCAGGAGGGAGGAGAGACACAGAGAAAGAGGGGGAAGCAGAGAAGGGGAGGAAGCAGGAGGGAGGGGAACGTGGAGGGAGAGACTGAACCATGGGAGACGCGGAGGGCAAAGGAAGGAAAGGGAGGGAATAGTAACCCGAAGGCCAGTCATTTGGAACCGAGGACGGTGCCCCACACTCACCTCCAGAGTGAAAACAGAGAGATTCTTGGAAACAAATCTCCTCTGCTTTCAAGACCAGCTTTCCAGGGTGGTCCAGAACCTTCCGCAGCCCCTTCCTGTGCCCCAGCCCAGAAGCCCCACAGCACAGGTTCCAACCAGCTGTTTCTGTGACATTCCAGCCCGCTCCCCTAAGCCCTGGCTGTCCCCCTCTATGTCTGTCAGACACCAATAGCAGGAATATGTTCCATAAACACAACCATCCCCGTGCCCACGCAGAGAGCCCAGCACTGCCCCACTGGCTCGAGAGGCAGGACCCACACCCTCTAGTCCATGTTCGCCCAGCCAGGTCCAGGGACCCTGGTGCGGGTCACTCGGTGGTGCCCTCTCTCCCCTTCCCAGTCTCGCTTGGGGGGCTGGAATCGGGCCCTGCAGCCTCTGAGATCCCAGTGGAGGTTGCCGACTCCCAGAGGAGGAGCCAGAACAAGGACTGTCTTAGCAGGTGGAAGTGATTCAAAAGGAAAAATAAAGAGAGAAATGGAGCAGTAATGACTCCCTGGACTGTAGTTAGAATGGGAAGTGAGGGGAAAAAGGAGAAAGGAGGGAAATGGGAGGAAGGGGAGTTGGCGAAGGCCAAGGACAGACCCTTGGGCTGCTCACTGGCCACTAGGTCAGTGCGTCCTGCTCAGAGCCCGGGATAGAGGGGGGCAGGATTGATGGGAACTCATTCCAGCATCATCTGGCTCCCCACTATGGTCATAGCGCCGGCAGGTGTGACCTTAAGCAAGAGGCCTGGCGGGCGGGCCAGCAGGCGGACACTTACACACAGATGTCTTCTGGTTGTTATCTTTGCTGGGCATCAGCTTCACACCTCGAGACTTCAACTCAATCTGCTTCTTGACTAGAAAGGAAGTAAGAGGGAAAAAGTTTCAAGCTATTGTCTGTGACTACAGGTAGAGTCCCTTTAGATTGCTCCCTGTCTTGGCTTGGGACATTCCATGGTGGGCGAACACCAGCAGCCCCTCTGGGAGAGGATATACCAAGGGTGGCATTCAAGTGCAGCAGTCCCTCAGACATTCAGAAAGAGGCTGATCCTCTTGGGGAGGCAGACAGGTGATCTCCCGTCCACATGCGAGGCCCTGGCTTTCTGGTCACCTGCAGATTCAGTCCGCAGCCCTGAGCAGGTGTGTGAGATTGGGTTCTGGCCCCAAACTGTCGCCATTCCCGAACCCACACCCTCTGCAAGGTGACTATACTCCTTCCCATTAAAGAGGTGGAATCTATTTCCTCACCCTTGACTTTGGGTTTGGGCATTGGAATCTCGGAGGGCTTGCACATGTCCCAGTGCTTTAAAAGTGCTTGTCAGAGTAGACTTGCCCCCTCGCATCTCTGCCGTTGTTGGGAGAAGACACAGCTGGTCCCAGGGAGATTAGGAACCTGTGGAGCTAATCAGCGCAGCCAACACCAGCTGACCTATTGTGAGCAGGAGAAGCTGAGTCCTGGAGGCCTTTGGGGGATGGTGTCTGGCTCAGTGGGGGCCTGATGGACTGAACTGGGTTTTGATTCAATCACTGTGTGTAGTCTATAGCTCTTTAGGACTTTGTCAAATAACACAGCAAGGGCACCAGAGCCAGAACTCCATAATTCTGAAGGCCATTCCTCTGAATCCATTAACCTTCTTGTGTCTGACTATACCCCAGTTCCCCAGAACACTCCGCTGGGCTACTCCAAGGGCTTCATCCTGTCTCTGGTTATTTGGTTTGGGGAATCTCTCCAGTCCCAGACCCCTGTGGCATCTCACAGCTGGCCCCTGCAGGGTGACTCAGCCCCCCTCACACTGGTACCCAGGTGCGGTAGCAACACCTGTGACCAGGCACTTCCCGTGTGCCAGGCCCTGGGCTGAGTGCCTTCCAAGTTCTTTATTTGTAGCAGTGTCCTTGACTGCTATCTTCCCTCTCACCCACACATGCTGCGTCAGCGAATCCTTCCAATATATCCAAATGCAATGTCCATGTCCATCACCCCGGTCCAGCTCTGCACTGCTTCTCTCCTTTGTGGCCATGGCCTCCCATCTTCCCTCCTTGCCCCTGTTATAATCTGTACTCGACGCAAGAGCCAAAGGGATCCTTTCAAAGCATAAGTCAGATCGTATTACATTTCCGCTCAGAAGCCTTCAGGGGCGACCTATGTCTCCTAGAGTAAAAGCCAAAGTCTTTAAAATGGCCTGCACAGCCCGATCTGCCCTGCCCATGACCTCAATCATTCTCCTCCAGCCCCGAGCCTCCCTGTTGTTCCTACAATATGCCGGGCATGTGCCTGCTGCAGCCTGCCAGCTCCCTAGAATGCTCTTCTCCCAGAAATCTTCACGACTCGCTCCTTCTCCTCCTGAAGTGTTTGTGTGGACACCACTTCCTCATGGAGGCCTTCTCTGACCACCCCATTTAAAACTATACGTCCAACCCGAGTTCTCCCTACCCCTTCCCTCTTTTATCTCCCTAACTTTCTAACACACTATGTCATTAACTTAGTGATTTTTGTCACCCCACACTGCAACATGAGCTCCACGAAAGCAGGGGGTTTTGTCTATTTTGTTCATTGCCGTCTCCTAAATGCCTAGAATAGTGCCTGGTACACAGTAGGCCCTCAATAAACATACCATTTGGTCCTTATACACTCAACAACCTTGGCCAGCAGTTATCATACCTGTTTCATAGATAACAAAATCAGGTTCAAAGTGATTAAGGGGATTTGCTGTAGGCCACTCTCAGCAACTTCTCTTGTGACCTGCTCCCAAAGCAGCCCCAGAGGCACCGCTAACCTTCTCCAGCATCTACCCCTCCTGGCTCAGGCCCCTGAAACTCAAGTACTTGACCTGCACTGAAACTAAAGCCCACAGTGACCAGTGCACCAGGGGACCACCTCCTAGCACCCCACCTCTCTCCACCTACACCAGAAAGCTCCCCAAGGATTTGTTCCCCACCAACTGCTGTCTGTGCTGAATACTTGATAGAATTCAGTTACTACCACAGAGTCACTGCTTTCCAATGTGCATTCAAACCCTTTTTATAAATGTGCTTTATAAACGTGCACTACTCTTCATGTGTATCCAGCAGGAAAATTTCCAATGAACACCAACACGGGCCCATTATGAAACAGAGGGTGTTAGTAGGGGAGCATGCATTATTCAAGCCCAGCTAATACAATGCGGCAGGGAAACATTTCCTCTGATTTGATCATCCCAAGGGAACAAGAGTGTTCCCAGCACAGTGAGAACACTTGGAGCTCTTCTCCTGGACCCCCCAGCCCTGAGGCAGGGGTGTAGAGAGGGCCCTCTGCCGCCCAGCACAGCCCGCTGGAGGTCAGGTCTGTGGAGATGGCCCATGGCACCTAGCCAAGAAGGAGGCCGTGTCAGTCTTTCCAATCCTCTTGTTTCTGGTTGCCGTGTCCACTGTGGAAGAGGGATGGGGAAGGGGGCCAGTGCACCATAGAGGCCATTCCCAGGGGCAAAGGCTCCTTGGATTCTCTCATGGTTGTTGAAAAGGAACCTCGAGGTGCAGGTGGACAGGAGGGGGTGGCAAGAGGGAGCCCTACTTCCTATCTTCTCAAGGTGGCATTAAGGAAGAAGCTCCTGCTCTTCTCCCCTCTCAGGACTCCAGGAAGAGTCCTCCTAGTTCCTGTGTCCCTCCTGTGTGCTTATCCTCCCCTCTGTAATGCCTTGGACCACTTTTAGTACAACGACATCATCACATCGCCCAACAGGAAGTAATGCATTTTTCCATGTATAATATGCACCAGTGGTTTTGGCCCAAAGTTTTTGGGACAAAAAGCTTTCATTTTAATTTTTTAATCCAATTATTTATTTATTTATATTTAGAAACATATTTTTCAGGGTATTATTTTGCAAATGGATATCGTTATTGCTTTCTGCAGTTACACTTTAAATGCATAAGCATAAATAAAATAATTAAAACATTTATATAGATACGGAATTAGTACTACCCATGTTTAATGCACATGCTTATTTTTCCCTCAAAAATTTGGGCAAAAATTGTGCCTTATACACAGCAAAATAAGGTAATTCCTGTTCCTCCTCCTTTCCTTCCTGCCAGTAACCATAGGAAGGTGCTGGAGAAGAGCTGAAGCTACAGGGGGCTCCTTAATGACACATCAACTTTGTGACCATTTCTTCCTGTGAGCTGGGTCTGGAGGGTCGTGCCACCATGTTGTCTGTGAGCATCACACATCAGCCTGGGGAATGCAGGGTTCGCTTTATGGGCAGGGGTTCCTCATGCGGACATCACATCTCTAAAAGATACGTGTCCAGACCTCGCTGGCCCAGGCCCATGCTGGGAGAGATGGAGCCCACAGTGGACTCCCACCATTGCCACTGCTGATGAGTGGGTCACGAAAGTGTCCCAGGCCAGGAGGGAAGCTCTGAGCACCAAGGATGTTGGCATCAAGACGCCCCTCCACATGTTGGAGCCTCAGTTTCTGAGTAACTCTGGGGAAGTGGTCAAGCCCTGAGTAAAAACACATAGTTAATCTATCTTTTAAACCATCTGACCAAGTGGGTGGGGAGCGATCATGGGCCATGGAGCACTATGGGAAATCAGCTACAAAATAAGCTCATTGCAAAGAGAGCTGGACGGACCAGGGCAGAACAAGAGTGAAGACTTGTAACAGGGTGCAGCCAAGAGGGGGGCCCTAAATAGGGATTTGGAATGGGGTCCAGAATTCAAGGTGTTCAGGCAATACTAGAAAAATATATAGGATGTCCTCACTGCCACAGGTGTGAGTTGGGGGCAGGGACACATGGAATAGGGCCATTGAGAGCTGTTTTGCATAGCAACAGCTTTGCGGCTATCCCCTGGCACGGTCATTTAACATATCTATAACCTTTAACTGGTTTTGGTCATTTAACATATCTATAACCTTTAACTATGTTGAATAGCTGCGGCCATGCTTTGAGCCAGGGAGAAGGGGGTGACTTCCATCCAAGATGTAACTGGGAGGCAGCTCCCCCTGGTTACAGCATCTGAGTGAGAGCTTGGGGATGATTGGCTCCACATCATGGGGACACACCTGCCCAGACTCACTTTGGCAGACCAGTAAAGCTGGAAGGATATGGGAGTGCTGGCAAGTGTAGCCGATTGTGGGAGGAGTTGGAAATGAGGCTGCAGAGGAAGATTGGCCCGGGAATTTAAACCCAGATGTGGCAGCCATAGAAGAGAGAACCACATGGCTGTGGCAGTGCAGAGAGAACCACATGGCTTTGGCCAGAGTAGGGATCCCCGCAGCTTTGCTGGGAGAGAACCACGTGGCTTTGGGGTGCTCCTTTTGGCCACGTGGCTTAAAAAAATAAGAGAGACTTTGCCTGGAAGAAAAGGGGTGCAAGGGCTTTTGTTGGAAGATCATGAGAAGGTGTGACATGACTTTGGATTAATTGGAGATCTTGACTGGATGGTGACACAGCTGATGGTGCTGGGAGCCTGAATCACGGACTTCTACTTCTTTTCCTGAGATACGGTACCCCAGATTAAGGCAGAGGGAAAAGGAAGGACTGTGTGCATCTGTGGGTATCCTAAAGGACTTTGATATTTTAATGAAGATATTAGGTTAATACTTTAAGTCTACATAGCTTTAAACAAACATTTCCTTTCCTTTTTACCAATCTCTGGCATTGAGAGACATCTTTCCTCTGGCGGCGGACAAGCGAACCTAGTGGGGGGTCCTTTCGGTAATAGTATATCGTACCCCCCTTGGCCCTGTTCTGTGACAGGCTCAGAGAACAAGGGAACGCCTCCCTCTAGATTGCCACAGGCCACCAGGGACAGGCCTAGTCCGAAGTAAGAACAGAATGGCAAGGACCTAGAGAGTTTCGGGGGATGTGTTCGTTCATGC